TCTCGATGACTCCGGGACGATGCGGTCGACTTCCGTTGATGGAAAGATGTCGATCCGAGGTCGGGAGATGGAGACGAAGATGGGTGCGAGACACACACACAACAACAGATCCGTCACTTGGAACTTTCGGGAGAAGCCGTCGCGTCCTTGAATTTCTGGAGTTTTATCTGTTTTCTCTCAGATTCCCCTTTCTGATTGGTCTCTCCTCGTCACTTGATGACAATTCGAAACCTTTCAGGGGCACGGGAGAGGTCAAAATCGAAGTTTAATTCGATCTCCAACCGGAAATGGTCGACGGACTTACATTCTTCTATTGTTTAAAAGTTTTCTATTGTCTAGCGTCGCGTTTTCATAAAATAAAAATCTATCTCTAACTAATATATTATTTTCTCTAAAACAATTATTTTAACGCGAATTTTAGTGAGTGTTCGGACCTGTACAGAGCCTCACATATTGTTTGCTTGAGAATGCAACAGAGAATAAACTGCCCAAATACCCTTAAACAAAGGAAAAGTACGTTCTTTATGAAGGCATAGAGCCTTTACTACATGAAAATGAAAATTAATGCATACACTGTGTACAGTAATTTACCTGATAAGACAGACCTCAGGAAAATACTTTATGAGGCATAAAGCTGTCTATGATGAAAATTAATTATCTAAGGGTATTTTTGCCCTGCCAGGGTGTGGCCGAGTTATCCGGAATGCCGGGTTATCGAGTGCCAAGTTTTCGAGGCTCTACTGTAACATAATTAAAAAATTGCATTTTATAATAATAAAGTTTTATTATAAATATTGAAATAATAATAATTAATTTTTTTAGATCTATGTATGTTTTTGGAGGATTTAATGGACAAATGTTGAATGATATTCAAAGATTTTCACCAGGTAAATAATTTTTTAAATATGTTTAAAATTTATTGGTTAATTAAACGATTGCAGTACTTTTTAGATTATAAATTTGTGATAATTTTGTAATATTTTACTTGCAATTTAGTTTTTAAATTTAGATGCTATAAATACATTATTTTCATTTATGAAAATTATTTCTATAAGTGGTTTCTATTTATGAAAATGCAAAGGTTTGAAAAACTTGCTTTTTTTTTTTTTATTTTATAAATATCATGTCAAAAATTTATAAATTTATAAATTTAAAACATATATATATGATAAGATAGGAAATACATTTTGAATTTTATAAACTTAAAAGAACATAACATGAGATTATACATATAAAAAATTAATTATATATATTGATATTAGTCAGAAAATAATGATATAGGTTGAAGCAAGATGGTTCAACAGGAAAAATTTAGTTTAAAACATAGAATTTTTTTGACTGTAATGAGATACAGTGTCATGGATGTTAGACAGCCTGTTGTATTGCACAATAACAAGTTTACATATGTATGTGAAGGATATAGATTATAAATTCAACAGGTTATGGATACTATGTCAGGTTGCAGATGTATGCTTTCTTTAAATGTTTTAGAGCTTCATTTAGGAGGTAATGTGCAGCTTCTGCAACTTAACAGCAGTCATATCATTGTATAATGTTTTTTTTATAATAATGGAAAATCAATTAGATGTAATAAAGTTCCTGAATAAACATTTTCATTACTCAGTACAGTTTTCTTTACAGGTTAGCTGATTGTATTTGTTAAACAAGTAGGAAAAAATATCTTTTCTTGGTATATGCAAATAAGATTTTTTTCTTTCAGAAAGTTTTTTGGTGACTAATTGTGCTTTATGTTGTATCACAAGTTTTGGACTTTTGTGCTTATAATAAATTTATCTTCTAAAAGTATAATAAAAAGTAATTACATTTAAGTAATTAATTCAAACTTTTATTTACTAGAAATAAATTTGCATTTACTATTAATCAAGTGGTTTACAGCACAGCTTTTTATTTGTCATTTGGTATTTCTCTCTTCTTTGCAAAGTAAGCTAGGAGGCATGATAAGATAGCATCTTTTGTTGGATATGATTACATCAAGTATGAAATGAGCACTGTGAGACAGAACCTGAATTTCTTTTGTTCTTATTATTTATTTTAGTTTGTTTGTATTTGTTTAGGGGATATTGTATAGTTTAGTATGACTACTAAACACTCCTGACTGAAAAAAAAACAAAAAATTAAAAGCATCTTACTGTTCAACCTGTTGCTACAGAGAACGCCATTATCATGTGACCTCTGAATTTCTAGAATAACTTTGAAACATGTAAAAACATATCATAAATGTAATTTATTTCATCCTTAAATAATAATTACGGAATTATCAGGACTAGAGTTTTGCCAGCAGGGAACATATAGAGTATAGATTTATGTTGAATGTGATCAATTTGCTGACGATCACGCCAAAATAATATAAAGTTTCATCTTAAATTTAAGCGTTCTATTCCAAATTCGGATTATTTCCGTTTAATTCTTTCGATAATTCGCCTGATGACGACGGCTATATGTTCGTTGAAAGTACTAGCGAATAAAAAAAAACGCACACATAACGCCGACCTCAGTGCCTTCCCTTTTTTACAATATGTTGAATGTGTACATGAGGTAGATGGCAGTTGTAACATCATTATACCAGTAGATATAAATAGATGGATGAGGTGAGAATATCAAGAAGTTTGCTAGTGCTGCTGAGTGAGAACAATGGTGGCCATCTGCTTGGGACCATATTGGACTTAACCATCTNTTATGTTGAATGTGTACATGAGGTAGATGGCAGTTGTAACATCATTATACCAGTAGATATAAATAGATGGATGAGGTGAGAATATCAAGAAGTTTGCTAGTGCTGCTGAGTGAGAACAATGGTGGCCATCTGCTTGGGACCATATTGGACTTAACCACCTTGGCCATCAGTCCTGTAATTTACATATATGGGTCTATATTTTATATATACTCGCATGCCGACATTTGTTGCCAATCTGATGCTGATTGAGAGAGATACTGAGGACTGATTATAGAATTGCTCATGTAAATATTAATTACTGTGATTTACTGTTCTTATATTATTGTTTGTATTAATCATATCATTTTGATTATTAATACATTGTTTAGTTTATTACTACCACATTATGACATTTAATAATGTTTTTGTATTTATAAGCATAGTAATATCTTTGTGATTTTATTGAATAATCCATTATCTTTTACATTGTTGTTGATTAATGCCACTGTACAATGTTTTTAAAAAACAATTTTTTTTTTGGTTTATCATGGAAAGGTCAAATCTGTATTTCCAACCAAACTTTACAGTATTTCTGGTTGCCTTTGTAATTACAGAATTATCAGGACTAGAGTTTTGCCAGCAGGGAACATATAGAGTATAGATTTATGCTGAATGTGTACATGAGGTAGATGGCAGTTGTAACATCATTATACCAGTAGATATAAATAGATGGATGAGGTGAGAATATCAAACTTAATAGAGAGTAAACAATAGTTGTTGCTATTGCCTCCATTCTTGATCTGTATTCATGTTTGGTGCAGACTTTTGCCTTCTCATCATATATGCTATGTTAATCACTACTTTTTTCATAATTTTGTCTCTTATCCCATATTTTTTGACCAACAAATTGAAATAGACCATTTTTGGTATTAAGTACTGTACATGGTTTAGGCTGCACTTGTCTTTGTTTTCTAATTGCTAGTTTATTTGATCCAAAACAAATTTCTACTGCTGTCACAATGTTTTAGTCTACCCAGGATTTTGTTAATCCACCTCCAATTGAAACCAATCACAAAATAACTAACATGTTTGATTTTCTTCTCATCTAAATGAAATACACAAAAATCTATTTTTCACCAACTATCTTTCTATTGTAGAATTTCATCAAATGGCAATTTTATGAAAATTAATTTGAAGATACAGTCTGTCCAAAACTGGGAACCACCATTTATTTACTTCTAGTGTTCCAGAATACAAACATTTGATGACCTGACCTTTTTCTTTATGTTGCTTGGCCATCAACTTTAAAAAACATCCTTTAACAAACAGAAAAAATCCAATTAAAATTACAAAGTTAAAATTGGAACTGTCAGATCTTACAGACATGTTCATTTTCTTTCCATCTTTATCACTGTGGGATATTTGAGCTTTATATCTACTAGGATTAAAGGATGTTTTTTAAACTTGATGGCCAAGCAGCGTAAAAAAGAAAGGTCAGGTCATCAAATGTTTGTATTCTGAAACACTAGAAGTAAATAAATGGTGGTTCCCAGGTTTTGGACAGACTATGTCTTCAAATTAATTTTCAAACTATCTATCTCCTATCATTATGATGATTTTGAAGAAAATTACATATCTGAAAGCAGACTACTTCTGTTTTCTTATTTACCAATTTACTCTATTCTCATGCATGCATTATGAATCCAAGAATGCACTGAACTTTGTGCATTTTTTAAAATTGTTATTATTTCACATTAAGTGCTTTTGAGAGATTAATCNTTGAAGAAAATTACATATCTGAAAGCAGACTACTTCTGTTTTCTTATTTACCAATTTACTCTATTCTCATGCATGCATTATGAATCCAAGAATGCACTGAACTTTGTGCATTTTTTAAAATTGTTATTATTTCACATTAAGTGCTTTTGAGAGATTAATCCTTCATCATTAGAAGTTTTCTACATATAATGTATAAATATTTTTATATCAGTTTTAAAATCAAGGATGACATTTCTGAAGAAAAATTGAAGCTAGAAGTAATTATTAATAACTAGAAAGCATTATTGTAATATTTTATATGTACTGATTTGTATATGATTACTGAAAGATGTATGAATATTATTATTATTATTATATGTATATGTTACAGTTAAAACCCGATTTTAGTTAAAACCCGTTTTAACTAGTTAAAACTAGTTTTAACTGGATGCCTTTGTTAAAACTAGAATTTACTAGNTATTAATTAAAAAATGATTATTTTTATATTTAGGAAGTTGTAAACAATATCATAGTGCTGATGCTTGTGAAAAATCTACATTAGGTGTTAATTGTGTCTGGAATTATGAAATGAGTTTATGCCAGTTGTTTTCAGTTATTGCAGATCGTGTCAAAACATACCATGCATTATGTTATCGAAAAGGAGGTACGTTTATAAATATTGTTGTTTTTGTTATTGTTTTATATACAGTAACTAAAATGAAATTTATGTATTTGCTTAATATTGTAACGTTATGAGTAGAGATGTAACCAATACCAATCTGATGCTGATATATTGACTTATCAGAATTGGTTTGTTTTAAAAATTGATATTCCAGTCATTTTCCAATATGTATCTTTGATAACATTTTTCCAGGCATTTGAACCAGGGATGGACATACTATGCTATAAAACTAATCCACAGTAGATAGCATGTCCTCTATGTTTGATTCGCCACTGATTGTCATATGACATACAGTTGTTGCTTTTGGCAAACACCAGCTTGGCAGTGGTGCTGCTTTGCAGGAGGTTTTGCAGATGAATGCGCTTAGATACCCTGGTTTTATCTAGGTGACTAGCAGATAAATAAGTAAAACTAATGATATACTTTGTTTCATATGGTACGGATTATGTCATTGGTTTGCTTACGTAGGGTGTTATAATGTTTCTGATGATTTGCTGGTTGTTATCAGACACACCAATCTTTAAGGGAATATTAGATAATGACTACCAATTACTGGTGATGCATCATTTGCTGCTACCAACCAACCAATTGATAAGCATTTTCAAATAAATTCTTAGCTGTTGGTCACTTGTTAGATGTGCACATCCTATACAATCAGAAATACAACAATGTGTAGGTTAAATCTTAATGGCTTACTGCAGACCTTGTCTACAGTAAGCTGAAAGGAGCCTGTAAATTGATTTGTAAACTTATTTATTTATACAGTGGTACCTCAGTATACGTCTGCTTTAGAATACGTTCAATTTGGAATACATCCTGTTTGGAGGAGACAAATTTTGCTTGGTATACGACTTTTGTTTGGTATACGACTTAATTCAATTATACGTGCCATCTGTGAACAAGTAGCACTATTGGTGTATTAGACCAGACTAGACGTTCGCGGTACCATGGTTTATAACTTTGTTAAATTTCTTCTGATTTTAATTTGTAAGTAAAATTTTATTAGTTTTATTAATCACGAATTACAGAAAGGAAAATGAAAAGCAACAGAAAACTAAAAAATGACTAGAATCACAATGGAACTGAAAAAAGAGATTGTTGAGAAATATGAAGGTGGCATGAGTGTTCGAGATTTAACTGTTGCATACCATATTCCAAGAATGACGATATCATCAATCATGAAGAATAAAGACATTATTAAATCTGCTAATGTTGCGAAAGGAGTTAAATCAATTTCTAAACAGAGATCGAAGACATTAGATCATGTTGAGAAATTGCTTTTTGCTTTGGATAATTGAAAAACAGTGTGCTAGCGACATCATATCAGAAGCAATTATTTGCGAGAAAGCTAAAAAGATACATGCTGATCTCATGAAAAATCAAGCAGGAACTAGCCAGGAAAGTGAGGTGTAAATTCAGCCATTTTTTTTTATATGAGAACGGATTAATCATTTTTACATTACTTCTTATGGGAAAGGTTGGTTTGGTATATGTCCTACATGGTGTAAGTCCAAACATCAGGAATGGATTAAGGTCGTATACCAAGGTTCCACTGTATTTGAATATAAATGGTTAAAGAATGAAGTGAATATTCTCTAACTTAATGAGCTTTCATGCTTTCATATATTACAACATCTTTAAAATATAGATAGAAATGCATATAGGACTGGATCAGTTAGAAAATTATTGGTATTGGTACAATCGCTACAAAACTACTGGTATAAATTAATATAAATAATTTCAACTAGATGTAAATACAAATAAACCAGCAAAAATAAAAGAGATAAACTGAAAACAAACAATTTGTATACTTGCTTACTGGAGAATAAATTCAATAAAAATAAAAACCATTCAAGTATCCAGCATAATAACACTACCAAATACCACACACAGATTTTAGAATTAGTGGACTTGATTTGTCACACATCTTTGTTTGAATTTGAAAATAAAACTTATCTACAGAGGCAGGGAGTACTGATGGGTAGCCCCATGTCATCGGACCTCTGCGAGTAAGTACTCCGTAATCTAGAAAACAGTATCCTCCTTTCCTTACAACAAGATATATTGATATATGCGAGATATGTTGATGATGTCTTTATCTTGTGGAAGGATAATCGCAACATCCAGCATTTTATGGATCTGATAAACAGTAACCTGTATGGTTTAACGTTGGAATTGGAGCAACAAGGTAGTAGTAGCGTTAATTTCTTGGACCTGACTATAACATGCATAAAAGGGGAAATCCAAACCAATATTTATCGTAAACCGACATTTATCCCTATCATTATCCCTAAGAATTTAGTGGATCCGGAGCATATTAAAATGGTGATATTTTGATCTTGGATAAGAAGAGCACACACGCATTGCACAAATGTTTGCGATACTGTTAAGGAATTACAATATATACAAAGAACTGCCATACAGCATGGCTATGGGAGAAAAAGAATAGAGGCTCTCATTAAGAAAGATCGTAATCTTACAAGTAGGCAAAAGCAAAACCACCAAAAAGAAAAATTGGTCCTCGATTATATACCCTTCCTTAAACTGATTGTCAAGAGGGTTTCCAAAAATAAGAACTTACAAATAGTTTATCAATGTAATCCCACTGTATACAGGATATTAAGGAACGACAAGGGAGATTATGAATGTAACTCCTTAACAGGAATATACTCAATACCGCTAAGAGACCATAGGTTCAACTCTAACTTAGTATATATAGGTGCAATGTTGAGGAATTTGAAGAAAAGAATCAATGAGCATAAGCTTTCAGTGAACAAAACAGTTGACTGTACAGTCCTTGCCACTTATGCTAAAGAACAAGGCATTACAGTCGACCCCCCCTATAATTACGGTCCCAATAATTACGATTCCTATAAAACTGCAAAAAAAAATTGTGACGGTATCCGTAAAAAACAGTAAAAAATCCCCCTATAATTACGTTAAACGTCATCGGGCAGCCGAACTACTTTCCCGCCGTCCGTAGCGCCACGCTACGGAGAGATTTCTATTGTCTGGACAGTATTATATAAATTATATATAAATTAGGTACTGTACATATAATTATATATTAATTATATATAAATTAGGTACTGTATATATAATTATATATTAACTTATTGTAACTTTGTTATAATTAAATATATAATTTCCGCCGTCTAGCGTGGCGCCACGCTACGGAGATTTTTACGCTAACTATCGTCTGTCAGTATGTAAATTAGGTACCGTAAGTCTAATACAGTACTGTAATTTTATACATTTCTTGT